ACAAGGGCCCCCGAGAGGGAACCTCGGCATGGGCTGTCACTCAGGTTGAACTAACTTTTTGTAAAACATGTAGCTTGTTACAGTGTGAAAACATAAGCTAATTATGTACATTGTAAAATGTTAGCTCTTTACAATGTACGGAATTAGTTATTTTTTGGCCTCAAAGATTAGTCAGCTGTAAAACCAATTAGTCTCTTACCACGTGTTTTCTAAGATTGCTATACTGCTCGTTAGCAATTTGTTGGTACGATTTAAGAAACACGTGTTTGGTGTTATATTTCAAGTAATTTTAACTTGCGCCTGCGCTTGTACGTTAGTGTATTTAATATTCATACATCTAAATATATTGGATTACATATTAAGACAGTTTAATATTTCATTTGCATTCAAAGTCGATTGATATTATTACAAGTTTAATGAACGCGAACATTGCAACGTCATTCGCACTATCGTTATGTTATTATTAAGGTTTACTTAAGTTTGTTGTTATGAGATAAATAGTTAATACGTAAATTGTACAGTACCCAAATAAACATCGTATAATGTCTTAAGTAAACAAATTGCTCAATCGAAAGTTATAATGTTTTGGAAAGAATTAATAAAAGAAAATTTTCAACTCAATATCAAAATGAATATATAAACATTAATGTGCCCTTTCAAGGGTTTACAACCTTAAAACCAGGTTGTTAAAGTTCATTTTCAATAAACAAATGCATCGATACCAAACGTAATCCTGGTATTATAGGTGAAGAGGTCGAGCATGAGGTTGTTAATGACGACGGCGACGCAGGCGGACGCGATGTACACTGTTGACATGTCGAACATAATCGTCGTGTTCGGGTAGTGGTGCTGGAAGTAGTCCACGGCCATTATAAAGCTGAAAGAAAAAGTGTTTTATTATACTTGTCAACGCCATAACATTCTATGTTCAGTTTTTCAAGATAGTAGATACGTAAAATATGCACAGATAATTGGTTATTCATTTTTATTATTATACATTTTAATCTAGATTACTTCATAGTAAAGTTCTCTTCAAATCTTGTAAATAATTGCAATTGCTACTTAACTAATTGCTCTTAGACTATTCTACTTGTTCTAGGTCCATAGTCGGTTTAAATTAATTATTTTACATATTACTAGCTTTCACTCGCGACTTCGTCTGCGTGTTGTTAAAAAACAACAAAAATGTTACTCAATGATAGCTAGCTTCTTAATGGTGTAAGAATTTTTGAAATCGGCCCAGTAGTTTTTGTGCCTATTCATTACAATCAAACAAACAAAGTTTTCCTCTTTACATATTAGTATATATAGTTTAGTATTGTGTTATCTGTCGTTTCAACTACTAGAATTTGTTATTTTTTAAAGATTGTAGTGTGTATAACTCATATGCATCCCCACATAGAGTTAAATCCTGCCCTAAGTCAGGGGTGATTAGAATAGCCTATAGCATAAATACTGAAGAGGTATTTTTATAAATTTGTTTTCGTTACCTGTTGAAAGGCAGGAGGAAAGCAGTTCCAGCGACGAAGAGTGTGAAGTATACGGAGTTGTATCTGTCAGGCGGTGGTCCCGTGGGTTCGGGCATTGCGGTGAGGGGCTCTCCACGCGCCGCCCTGATGGCGTCGATGCGGGCATACCCGCGACCTAAAGTCTCGTTCATCTTGTATAACTTTAAACAACTACCAAGTTCATATCCTTATCAGTACTGCGTCTTGGTTTAAATGTGATATTTTTTTCTTCAGGAATGTTATTGATGCAAATTAGTATTTTAAATTTAATTCACACACGGGATTATAAAATCGCAAACACATTATGTTAAAATCACTGAAATACAATACAATAGTTTGTGTCCATTAGTAAACATATAAAAATCTATTTAGTTGATGTTTGAATTCATTAAAGAGAAATTTATTACACGAATACACTAATTATTGCGTAACAACGAATGTTTTATTGTAATACGATTCATTGTTTTGTTTTAGGAATTATAAAGACTTTTGTTAACAACAAATGATGCCGGTTTTACTTGACAGTGTGTTAGGTGAAAGTCTACACTTCGACGCATGCGTGTCGCGCATTGATTTTTAGGGATGGACTTCGGGTACAATAAAACATCTTCCGGTTTCCACCACAAATTGCCAATGTATTGATATACTTAAGATAAAAATTTACCACACTGTTACAAAACACGAGAGCTATGTAGGTATAAGAATAAAATTGAAAAAAACTGCAACCTTTAAGAACTAAAAAATACCGCAATCAAAACATAGGGAATACAATAAACTTATTCAATACTTAATATATACGGTGGGTTCAGTATCTCGGTTCAAAAATAATATTAAATTCTTGAGCAGTGAGAGTGACGCCTTCGATGGGCACCGTAGAGGGTTGAGGTGCGCCCTCCGGTACTTTCAGCCGAAACTTCTGCAAGATGTGTGTTAGAAACAGAAAGAGTTCAGAACGGGCCAGTCCTTCTCCGATGCAACGTCTTCGTCCTAAAAATAAATATTATGTATAACTGTCTACCAAAAATATACAAGTAGATTCGAGAGACCGAATAAATCACCTATTATAAAAGCGAATTTAAAAAAAAATACACTAAACAATCCTGTGAATATTGTCAGCCACAGCCTCATTATCGTGTGATGCTTTTTCTTTCGATAAATAAAGTTACATTTATTAATATTACCTGTTCCAAACGGCATCAGCCAATCGTCTTGTATTAAATTTCCTTCCTTTGTAAGGAAACGTTCTGGTCGGAAAACTGATGGATCTTTCCAATGTTTGCCGTTATGAAGATCATGGAACGCAAGAAGTAAAAATGTGCCCTGGAGATATATTTAACAACAAGTTGACGTATGAAAACGAATCGACCTTAAACTTCATTTAAATTGAAAGTAATTGCTTTGCCAACCTTCGGTATAACATATTTGCCAAGTTTCGCATCCTCCAGGGCCATATGCGGTATTCCCATTGCGGCGATAGTCGAAATCCGTAACGCTTCCAACAAAACCGCCTCTGTATAGATTAACCTAGAAATATTACAAGGTTTTGAGGTTAAGTTTATTGAAATTATCGCAAGTTGCTTGCTCGAACATTGCTGACTTGAACCCTAAGTCGTAACTGTTTAATAATACTTTATTTACTGTTTTAAGTAACTATTATGATTTAATTATTTTGTTTTGTACATGACTGTGAAAATAAATTTAACTACGGAGTAAACTATACTTAGATCTGTCACTAAGGGCTGGAAGTCTTGCATGGCCGATTTCCTTGTCGATCTCCATTTGCAAGCGGTCTTGCACTTTTTGTTCCCTAACAACATACAGCAAGAGGAACACTGCTGTGTTGCTGACGGTTTCCACACCAGCCTCTAGCAAGTCTAGACAAACCACCTGGAGTTCCTCAGCAGTCACTGTAACATAGTAATGTTGAAGTTACTGGCAGCTAGTAGCAAAGTCAGACAAATAAGGAAAAAGAGTCAAATAGAACGAATAAATAAAGATTTAGTTACTTTGAAGAAAGTATTTCCATTGCTCACTTGAGATTACAACTCCAAATACATCAACAAGTAAGTCAATATTTAGTACCTCTAAATAATTCTAAAAAATTGAAACTGAATACAACTTTTTTCATCTACATTTTTGCATTACTCTTGGTGTTTTTGATATATTTTTAGTATCTATGCTATTAATAATTATTTAAATTCGTTGATTAGGTAGTGAAACATAGTTTAAAGGAATAAAAATTGAATATAGGTAGAGCAAGTTACTGTTTACGAGGAAATGCATAAAAGATCAACAATAGTCAGTAAAAAATTATTAGGCCTTTTATAGGCACTTGTTTATTGCATTGTTTTATATGCTTCATAAAATGTAAAATCAAATGATTAATTTCTTACATGTTTTGTCTTCTTGGCTGTTCATTTCAATAAGAAATGCATCGATGACATTTCGTGGATTTTTATCATCGAGATTTAGCCGATGTTCCTCGATTACCTCCTAAAATATTACAAAACGTGATAAGACATCATAAATGTCGCAAAGAATCGCTGAGATGTTTGTTCGTCTTGTTTACATTCTTTAATAAAATGTAACAAGTACATTTTTTACTATACTGTTATCGTATTTTTTAGTTAATATATTGTAGATATGAAAATGGCACAGTCTGACGTCACACAAACATATTGGCCATGAACTAAATGTTTTATCATTTTCTAATAAAAGATATGAATTATTTATTAGAAGTATCTTAATATTCGGCCAGTAAACTAGTCTGAATAAAAAATGAACCTTTTGTTGATCAATGAGTACATTTATGTAAGGGATAATTTTAAAAGAAACTGAGTAGTTATAATATTCGTACTCTTATGTTTATTTAAGAAAAGATATATTAATTCTTACACACTAAGAAAGATTTGTATTTCGATCAACATTGCTTAAAAAGAATTTATTTAGTCCAATTCAAATACTTTGCAGAAATATTATTCTACACTATAATTAGGTTATTTAAATTATCATAACAGGTTTTATTTATTTTTGTATAAAATAGCCAGCGGGAACATTAATGGCTAATTTATTGTAACACTGATGGATTATATTAATTTAAAACTAGGGCTGGCACTTAATGCATTTTCATTTATTTGTGTTAAATATAATATGAATAAAAAGGGATATAATCATGTTTCTACAAATTTTAAGGCAGTTAAACATATGGTAAATAACAATACATTAAAAAGTACATGACTTATTGTACATGATTTACCTTCAGAAATATATTCCATTATTGAATAACGTTTTAAACTTTTATTTGCTCATCCATTTATCCCAGTTTAGTTTTTATTTACAGGTTATATATAATCTTATCTCACTATCTAACTAATATTATAAACGCGAAAGTTTGGATGGATGTAGAGGATATTCTACAATAACACATAGGATAATTATTTTTTTTTGATTAACGCGGACGGAGTCGCGAGCGAAAGCTAGTTATTGTCATACATACCTTTAAATATGCATATATAGAATGATTAATGTCCATAAGTTCAGTATATCCGATGAGATCAGGCATTACATGTCTGAGGAATGGTAGAAAGTTCAGAACTCCGCCGCTCATGTCGACCACTTTGAACGATCGTGTTATCAGATCACATAATGATTTTAAACGTTCATCAGTAAGGTCATATCTGAAAATTATATTATACAATCAAATAGTAACATACTTATTTATTTTTTATTTTGTTAAGGTATAGGATCAAGAATACACTGCATATCGTAGAAATAAATTAATAAATTTTACAAAGCCTGATAGTTCGATCAGGTTACAATCAAGAAAAAAATCATCGACTGATCATATGATATCGTCTCTAGTTCAAGAATAAATCGTGTAATATCTCAGACAAATGGTTGAAATTGATCTCACCAGTCTTTAAGAAGTTTGACGTTATAAATACTACACCTGTACTATGCTTTAACATGCATATAGTGCACTACCGTGCGAAATCCTTACAGTGATTAGATTATGTTTCATATATTTCTTTATACTGCAGCATAGCGTCAAAATATTTTTAAGTTACTTTTTTTGTTAAAGATAGGTTTCACCAACCTTTTACCTGCCACCAAGCGCCAAACAACATTAACAATGCACACATTAAATAGTTTGTTGACGCAAACTGCCCGTCCTGCGCTGTTCGCCAATAGTTTGGTTAATGCCTGACATTCCTCGCTTATCTGAACCTCCATAGCCTTAGAACCGTAGCCGTAATGTTTCAAATACTTTAACACGGTCCGCCTTCTTTTATTCCAGTGCGGTCCATCGGAGAAAACTAAACCTGAAATAGTTTTTTTTACTTTACTTGGAGTTTTGTGCATTACTAGGATTCGGCTACGACTTTGCCCGCGTATTAAAAAAAAAGCGTAAGATTAAAAAAATTGTGAGTACCCTATGCGTTTTTCTAGACTATCATCTAGGTCTATGGAAAATTTCATAGATCCGTTTAGCCGTTTAGGCTACAAACTAAAACAAACATCTGTCCATCCATCCAAACTTTCACATTTATAACATTACTAAGAAATAAGAAGATATGATTTGATTAATGTCACATAGTTCTACTTTCATACAGAATGTGAGATACAGTTGAGGAAATGTCTTTCTCTACCTGTTCATGCAGTAAATTATTGGAATAACCAAATGCTTAGAATTAGTCCACTAAAAAACAAAATACGTACCTAATTTCTTCCCAAAGGATCTCATCAAGTAAAAGAAGCCATCAGGTCTTCCTTCAAAGACTTCTCTTGATGATACCTCTTTTATATACTCTTTTCCGGACACAACAACTACGTTTATAGATCCGAGCTGCAAGCCGAGTATATCTCCATACTTTTGGGACAGCATTTGCCATACTTTATGGCGATATTTTAGCTTCTTATGATTGTACCAAACTGTTAACATATTACCAATGAATGGCAATAAACCAGGACCTAAAACAACAAAACACAAAATGACGGAAATAGGAAAGATAAAATAGATGTAATATTATTGTTTAAACCCGATTATGATATTCAGCAGTTTTTCTTAGTACTGGCGTTATCTGATTGGTGTTAAAATTTCAGCATGTAGGAACATTTAAAGGTATAAAATTGATTGTGCTCTGGTCATTTTTTAGGCAAAGTAGTAGTCTGGATTTACAAATTTTTTTAAAACAATAGTTTAAAGTAACCTGGTGGGTACGCCGTCGGTCGCTGGGTAGACAATGTGATGAGGTAGAAGAAAAAAAAAGCTATCAATATTACGGTCCACATCACTGCACTGTACAAAAAGCAACTGAAACGATTTAGTCACCGGTAGCGAAACTATTTTTTTCTTAGAGATTTTATCGCAAAACGACAAATAATCACGCCTTGTGTTATGCAAATTAACGAGGAAGTAAGTTTAAAATAATCTAAGATCTTACAAACAATAGTCGGTATTGATACCGTATTTATTTCTTTATGTACATTGTGTATGAAAGAAGTTACATATTTATGCTTTTCAAATGTACCTACACGTTTTTCGTGACATTTCATTTGAATTCTACATTTGTTTTAACTCCAGTTCTATTATTTTATTCATTGCATCCTTTCCTTTATTCCCCTCTTTTAATTCAATTATAATTGAATCGTTATCAAAGTGTTTTTGTATTTAAATGAGCATATGAAAAATGTGAAAACATTAAAAATACACATTTAACTTTACATTCACGTACAAGTGTATCTGTATCCGCGAAATTCTATTGTCATGACACTTTGTTGAAAATATTGTTGTTTCTATTTTTATTTAAAGAATGGAAGAGAGAATGTGGGTAGGCAGACGCTTCCTTCACTTAATTTATTAAAATATACCACCTTAGGCTTTAGGGTATACAGATAAAACTAATATTATAGAGGGTAGTTTCGAAGAACAAAATAGTACTTGCTTTTGATTTGTTTTAATACAATGCGAACGGATTCGTGGGCGAAAGTTAGTGTGATAAACAAGAAATTGACCTTTCAGAAACCGAGCCTAATCACATTTGAATTGTATCAGTTTCAAGGTATGTTTATTTATTATGCAAATTGATCTTATTAATTGTCTTGCTTTCTACGATTTCGATTGTATGGAAATTTTTATGATAATAATAGGAAAATCTTCGATAAGATTGTTGTTACTGAGCGGGGACTAATACTAATTAAATAACCTTTATATCTTTACGCAACCTTGATCGCTTATGAAGACATCTAAATCTTTAGGAAAAAATATAACTTCGATGATTATTTCATATTAATACCAATCTTACAAGCTTAGTTCATTACGAATCGTACATTTTGTAAAACGTAACAAAAAAAAACTGTAATGTGTTGGTTCTGATCATTGTATGTCTTTATCTCTTATTGCAGAGCAATTTTGTCTTACGTCGTTGTGTAGGACACTAATATGATATTGACAGAGGTAAATTGAGATAGCACTGAGGTCATTAAAGTATTCAATGCGAGCCTGTATATATGTCGGACAATAACGCAGGTGATTATATGTTGAAATAAGCGAATGAGTTTCATTTACGTTTAGTCGTATATTCGACCACTAATTTACACACAGAAATTAAAATTATTTTCTCTTGTTTGATACATAACTTCTGGGTTGCTGAAGTTTTCACTTATTTTGTTATTACCTATATGTTCATTAGCATTGGTTGATAGGCAACAACGGAGTAAAACTCTGGTTACGTAGTTCGGTAACGCATTGAATTTATCGAAGAAAAAACACTAACGAATGGTTAAATGTAACTGGGCAACTGGTCGTTATTCCCATAAATAGTAACCAAAATATTCAGAGATGCACTTTTGTTTTGTATTGCAATTTTTAACAACGATCTCTAAACGTATTTTTTTTTGCAAACAATCCCTCAAAAGTGAGGTTTTTAAACATTACTAAGTATGGAGTCAGCAATACAAACATCGTATTCTAAGTCTGTTAGTCACTAAGATATTATCTAATAAATTTTGCAGCTATTGAACGATAAAATTAGATAATAAAGTAATAATCCAAACTGGTTGGAAGAAGCAATCTCGCGCGACTGCCCCATACTTTTCACGGCCTTCGGAACGTGTATTTTGCATAATTTTGTCGAGAATGACGATAAGAATAGAACTAAACCAGATAAGGAAAAAAAATGAAAGGTCTATTAATCGGATTAAATGAAAAATTAAAACTATTTTAACTAAATTTATTTATTGAAGTGTTATCAATTACATTGTTACTGTGAAAAGTGATTTACGTTATCATTCTCAAAACGAATATTAAAAACAATATTATTGAAAAACAAATCTGACGACACAATTGCTAGCCGGTGTTAAATCATACAGCCGCGATATGTGGTCGACTTGATAACGCGTTTAGTGTTTATACGTCTTGAAAATTAACCGTACGTTATGACTGGTCATTGTGGTGACCGATTACTATATAACTGATGTTGAGTCCCGGTCGCCGCATTTATTGCTGTGTTATCGAACGATATAGACCTGCGACTAACCTAAAATAACATTTATCTAAATAATCAAAGTGATGGCGCCGATTACAGACAGTGTTAACGGAAGTAAAATCTACACACCCGTGAAGGAAAGTCTACCTGAAGTCGATCCCGATGACGGATATGGCGCGAAACGGTATGTCATTGAAAATATTACTTGTGTTTTAATTAGATTAGTCGAAAACTTCGAGAATATTTTTAAAAAACATTCGAGTATAGACGTATAAGAAATTTTAATTGTAAGTAAATAGTAAAAAAACGGTCAAACCAAAAAAAATATAACTTTCAAAAATGATGAAATTGTAATTAAACTGATATAACTATGGTCGATTTTTTGGTTGTCGATTGTTTATATTTTTATATAAAACACAAAACTGGTTCATATATTATTTTGAACACATTATTATTGATTACATAAGTAAGAGGACGGCGGCGACGGTGGAATTCAACTAAGGTTAATTGACAACAAGTTGTTCATCCTTGGCTCCAAGATAAATTACACTGCGAATAGTTAATAAGAAGAAATTACTTGTATGTTTCTTGTAAACTTTTGAAGTATTAAACTAAAGAAATTGAGGATGTTTGGATTTGTTGTTATACATTATTGAAATTTATGTGCTGAGTAACAGCTAGTAATTCATTTCATCCAAATTATGTTTCTATTTATGTGTTTTAGAGGAAAGTTTATTCAGATAGCTTGATATAATATCCGAATCGATTGTTTAGTTCAAAATAAAATTCACTCGTATCAGTACCAATTTTAAAAACGAAAAAAAAAAACATATTTTTCTAATATCTAATCTTTTCGAATCTTTTTAGTTACCTATATGTCTCTTTTGCAACACGGATATAATAATTGTTTTTATAATAAATTGCTCAGAAAATGCAATATAAAAACAAGAAACAATTTATAGCCAAATAACGTGATTCTCGTGTACAATCGTGCTCATAATATATTACATATGAATCATTTTCTAACCATATATTCTTATAGTAATTGGCGTAAATTCTTTTACCATTACTGATAATAAATACTTACATCTTTAGCTCGTCATACATGTTCTTTGTAAAGGGTCTGGACCGGGGGCCGGTCTCAGTTGAGATGGGCAAAGTTGTCATTCAACAATTTTTTAAAAAAAGAAGGCACGACTGGTGTGACGTCACATAGTCTAGTATTATAAAATTGTCGACGAAACCTGTATATAATGCCAGTATCAATTTACAGTGCTACATACCTATTTTCAAGAACATTACGTGTTTTTGTATTATTAAAACGGTCGTGTTTACAAAAATTGTATTCCGTGTAGTGAAAATTGTGATTTTCATTCATAATGTTTGACCTGGATACACGATATAAATTCAGGTATTTTTTTTTTACTTCTCTTTATGATGAAAATATGTATCAACTAGCTGTTGCTCGCAACTTTGTTCACGTGAAATTTTTAAATGTTGCCTATGTTACTCAGCGATAACGTAGTTTTTTAATGGTGAATTTAGTGGTGAATGTTTAAAATCGGCCCAGTAGTTTTTGAGTTATTTTAATACATACAAAATACAAAAAGACAAATCTTACCTATTTATAATGATCACATAGATTATTAAAAAAAAAAGCATTGATCTTATTCTGGTAAGGGATCCTATTACATTGCGGTTTGTTAAAAACCCGATTCACAATATGTTACCTTTAATTATCAATTTACCAAATTAATAAACCGAGAATGTCGGAATAAACTGGGAAGTTATGAAATGTTTGTATTTTTATTAAAAAGCCTGTGTAAGATAGTAACATTTGACAAATATGTTTGTAAGATGTACAACATTTCTGAAAAATACTATTTTAAACAATCGATATCAAATTTCGCAAACATAAAGTCAATTAATAATTTTTATTAAGCCTTTAAAAAATAAAATCATCTATGTTGTAAAAATAACAATTTTACATTTAAATAACTACTAAATAAGGCGAATAAATTAGTGTTTGTTGCTAATACGAATACTTGCCCAAAACAAGTTATTAGTAAAAATTACAAATTATTGTGTAATAGTTTAAAATTAATATATACAAGAAAAAAACAAGTCTAATATCACGGACGAAGTCAGGTTAGAATACCAAAATATTCTCTTTCTTCTTTTCCGATGTCCCCAAAGTGGGGCAGAGGCCGTTCACAGAACGCCGCCAGCTCGCTCTGTCCTGGGCTCTGTGTTTTGACTCGCACCATGACAGCCCGATTGCCTTTAAAATATTGTACAAAGAGATAATCTTATTTCTGTTAGGGAACGTTGACAAGGTTAGCAAACGGATAGTTTTCTTTCTGTAGCATAATTTTCCTTTAACTTCATTAGGCCATAACCATGCCATTAACTTTTTAATTACCCTATAATAAGTATAGTAGTTAATCAACAACAATTTATTTTAAAACAAAAACGTGACAGCCAGATATTTTTTGTACAATTTGTGGATGAAGACTACTTAAACATTTAGGACCATACCTCTATGGGTATGACAGTAGAAAAAGCTGTACTTTCAATTTAAAAAGTTTTAAAAAAATATACTGGTGGTAAATTACATTTTCTACTCTTCTTAATTACATTGTACATTTTTTTATAAATTGTTACTAAGTATCATATTATTTTGCATGCTGTAAACGTGTGCGTGTAGTCAATAATTCAACCAAGCCAGCGCGATTAACTAAGTCCTAGTCATATTTACTACATGCTAGGTTCGGGCTAATCGGCCGTAAATGGTGACAGTTCAAAATTGCTTCATAATAAATTTGTTTGCAGGTACTCATACGAAACCCTTGTGGAGATAGCAAACTTCCTGCTCTCCCGTGTCTCAATCCGGCCATGCATTGGCGTCATTTGCGGCTCCGGGATGGGTTCGTATTGGAAACATGGTATTTATTGCTTCAAATTATATGTGCTTTAACTTACGCGTTACCAGAACTTTAAAAGGCACCATTCAATTCATGTTAACAATCAACAAATAATACAATGTGTTATCAAAGGACAAAACTAAAATTAGGACATGGACCAATTTAAAGCGAGGTAGACTTATTTGCAAACATAAATTTTACGATCTCTTTCAAAGTGATATGTTCATTTAGTGTTGTTTGTTTTGAGGCGTTTTATTGGCTCACAGATAAAGATAAGTCTTATGCCACAAACTGTCCCGGTAGAGAAAATTAGAACTAAGGAAGAATCACTCACAACTGCCCATTATCGAAAAGATGTATAGATGTTATGGAATATTTTTCACTTATATGTTTTCGATTGATAAATTATGTTTTAATTGTAATATACATTGCAATAGGTTCGTGGAACACTATCTCTTACTTTATTAAACATATCAGTTTGCATAAAACAGTACGTTCATTTAATTTAAACGAATTAGTATCATTACATCTGTGTCATTGCTATAACTTACATTGAAAAATATTTTATAGCTTTATTAGGTTATATGAAGTTATTAAAATAAACAATGTACGTGAGTAATTCAGTAGCAGATGTCACCTCTTCCTTGATCAATTCACCTTTCTCGCAATCCATCCATTTCTACGTAAGCCGATCAGTCTCTACCAGAGAACCCCCTTGCACTTAAAATTAAATAATTTGGTTCCCGATTATAATGAACTATAGGCCATCCACGCTTTATATCGCACTTTAGCTCGGAGGTGGTATTGTGCTTTGTTAGTGGATATTTGTCTGTAGTAACACTGCTTCGCCGCGATTTCACAATATAAGTAACATCTAAATTAGAATGAAAAACATTAGTTTGAGGTTATTTTATTTTTATAGGGTCGTTAGCTGAAACTATAACTGACGCGGAGTGCATACCTTACGAGGATATTCCCAATTTCCCCGTGAGTACTGTTGAGGGACATCATGGAAAGCTGGTGTTCGGAAGACTGGATGGCATTCCGGTTGTGGCGATGCAAGGACGCTTCCACTATTACGAAGGATATCCACTTTGGAAAGTAAGTTATGCAGAAAACTCTTCTAACTTGTAGACTATGTTATGATGACGTAATACCATAACGAGGTTTAGTCAGAATTTTTTAATGTAAAATCCTTCATCTTTTGTTTTCATGGGCCTATTGTTATAAATTTTTTTTTAACAAACGTTGCTCTGAGTTTCAAAATGTAATTTTTAGTAACATATTAATTGACGCTAATTAAATTGCAGTATTTAATTGGTATTCAATTAACACTACATTTCCTATATTTTTATCTCTACTGTAGTAAACATTAGATATAACTATTATCGGTTCATTAACAATGGAAATATTGCTTAGGAATTTTTCTTGACTATGATAAAGCCGTCGTTCACCGTTGGAATTATCTAGATTGGCTGATGCAAGGCGTTCTCGACCCCCAGTCGAAGGTTATCTGTAGTCGTTGGCATCACAATAAGGGGGTAAAAACGTTAAGATAAACGTTAGTAAATACGTCGCATTGATAGTAGGGCTTGTTGTTAAACATTTGTAAGTCGAAGTTTATTGCGTCTTACAGCCATCAATGCGTGATCTTATTTCTTACTAATGTTATAAATGCGAAAGTTTAGATAAATGGATGGATGTTTGTTAGTGTTTGTAGCCTAAACTGCTGAATCGTTCTAGAAGGTATTTTTCTACTTTTTATCCCGGTAATAGTTACAGTTCCCGTAGGATACACTAGTTTTGTTTGTTTTTTCATGTTTACTCGATAATTCCGCAACGTTTCAATATATTTTATTGAAATTTTGCACATATATTATATAAAAAAGTCTAGTATAATACTCGGGATACGGTTCATCCCCAAAAAATATCACGTTCCCTAGGTTACATTATTTCTAATCCACTACTAAATTTGTTGTATGGTCCTCTTCTGTTGGAAGTTAGATAAGGTATCTTTATTTTATTTATTTTAAATAATCAATGATGTCATTGATTAGTTAAAATAAATAAAATAAAGATGAGATGTCCCAACTCATGTATGTGGAGTAAAAAATCTTTTGTAATAGTCGTCACTATACTAAACTTGACTTGTCTTGTTTCTATTTACTTAAGTAGGCTTGTTTTGATTTATTGATAGTAAGATTCTTGTTTGTTCTAACTTGTTCGATAACCTTTACTCATTTCCTGTTTTTCCTGTCCACAGTGCTGTCTACCGGTTAGAGTTATGAAGCTTATTGGGGTAAAGACACTTATTGCGACCAACGCGGCGGGAGGTCTGAACCCTAATTACAAGATTGGAGATTTAATGATCATGAAGGACCACATTAATATGATGGGTTTCGCTGGCAACAATCCCTTACTGGGACCTAATGATGAGAGATTCGGACCCCGATTTATACCGATGAACAAAGCTTACAATTACGAATACAGACAAATCGCTAAACAGGTAAATATTAATTCTAAAGACGCTTCAGTAAGTTTATTAATAACTTTGCCTCATTAATTGTTTTTTCCCCGTTTGTGAAAGGATCTCCTATAAAATTACCACTACTTTATCCACAGAATTGACTTTTAACCCTTAAGCAGCGATATATAAAATTATTAATTTATTCTATGACGTAATTGTGATTATAGAGACGTCATTATGAGTAGATAGTACGCTTATTTTCAGCTTTTACAGTTCAATTTTATAGTATTGCATTATCCGTGGTAATAGACACGATAATTACCTAGTAGACTATTTTGGTTTGCTGTTTTTTTATCTTTTTTTACAGTTAACTATCGAAGACCTTCACTATTAATATAACTTTGTTTTTATTGATTTCTGAGAAAGGAATGTAGCTTGCAATGTACAGTTTACCCAAGGCTAAGACCTAAGTTGTAAAAAATAACACTAAACATTCATCGACCTTCACTTCACCCGACAAATTGTCGATTAATCGAGGAACGAAAGGACTAAAAAACAAGAATATATTTATGTGCCAGTTGTGGTTTTAAACGAACAAGATTTTTTTATCTTGTTAAAAGAACACAGGGTTACGAATGTCTCGTAATAAAAATATAACATTAAAAATGTCCATGATTAAGAAAGAACAAGAGTTATGTGACATTTAAATTTAGAAGATATTAATTACAATCAAGTCAAATAATGTTAGCGGCTATTTATTTTTGTATTTCAAATTATTTTAATCACATCTGCAATGCATTAAGCAAACAAGTATTGAAAGTTAAAAACGTTATTTTGATCTGCTAAATCCGAATTCATTATGAATATTAATCATTTATGTTAGTAAATTACATTAACATAACCGAAGGTGAAGGTTATCTCAGGTCGGCAGAGATTAAAATCATGACTGGAAAGCGTGTAATAATAAAAAAACAAAACCGACTTCCAAACAAAATACACGAAAAACAAAACAAAATACACCAAAAACAAAATATTCTCAAAAAAACAGTACACTAAAAAGTAACGAAATAATTCCTTGAAAATAGTAAACCTACCTTATTGTAACTGTTATGTCTATATTGTACAATTATTTTTACTTTGATGTCGGTGTCAGCCGAGGTAAGCAGTGATATTTCTACGTAAGGGTTTCCACATTTTTACCATAACAATTGACAATTGAAAGTATAGTAACAATTAAGTAATGAATCTACATTGACTGACACCGACTTCAAAGTAAAAATAATTGTACAATATAGACATAACAGTTACAATAAGGTAGGTTTACTATTTTCAAGGAATTATTTCGTTACTTTTTAGTGTACTGTTTTTTTGAGAATATTTTGTTTTTGGTGTATTTTGTTTTGTTTTTCGTGTATTTTGTTTGGAAGTCGGTTTTGTTTTTTTATTAAAAAGTTTATTTATTTCTTGATTTTTAGTGAATCTAAACATTGCAGTATGATAATCACTAGCTTTCAAACAAAGAATGAGTTATCTAAATCGATTATATAAGAAATTAAGTAAAGATCTAATACATCGTTGCGATCATTCACTCATAATTCTGTACAGCCGCGCGCCGCTGTTGCCCGTGAGTTTTAATATTTTGATAACTTCTAGAATCTTTGTCAGAATTACATACTGTAAAAGGCAATTATGATCTACATTTAATACTCTACCGTGAAAACATATTTATTTGGATAAGGATTCATACGAAATAAGAATAAAAGCGTTTTAAGGAAGTCGATTGCATTTATTTGACGGTTTTCGCGAAACAAACGGTTATTGTGCGACAACCTTAAGAAATAGATATATGCTATCGCGGACTTTTATTTAGCAAATTTAATGGGCTACAATTCTTCCACACATAAAACACACATAAAAAAAAAAAAAATATATATACCGTCGAATTGAATACCTCCTTCTTTTGGGAAGTCGGTCAACAAGCGTTTAAAAATAGATAAAGATTACTTGCTCAGTCAAATACGACGCTTGCTTTAACGCTAAAGATTTTCAAATTATGTACAAACAATTCATCAAAGGGAATAAATTGTATATTTAAAAAACTAGTAGATATATTATTAACACAATTAATATAAATATTTCTTTATAGTTGGCCAAAGAACTGAATATAGAGAATTTAGTAAGAGAAGGAGTGTACACATGTCTCGGAGGACCTAACTTCGAAACGGTTGCAGAACTAAACATGCTGAAGATGGTTGGTGTTGACGCTGTGGGCATGTCGACTGTACATGAGGTATGCTTCCTATCACTCCGACAATTTACACTTTTTAAGTAAATGTAAACAGAATGAACAGGACGAGGGAGTGAGGAAATTGCGTAGGATGTGACTCGATAGGACTATAGGATTTTATCAACCCCCCTAAACAAAGTAACATTCGATTACAGCTATCGATGTATGAATTCGATTACAGATATCGAAAAGTATGAAATTGAAAATAACTGTCGATGTCGATATTTTGTCGATTCTAATAACGATTATCGAAAAACACTTCGTATACGGTTTCAGTGCTAGTTTTATCTCGCATCTTTGATGTACTTAAGTTTGTTTAATATTTTTTTTTAAGGTAATTATTGCGAGACATTGCGACATGAAAGTATTCGCTCTGTCTTTAATAACAAACGAGTGTGTGACGCGATATGACCAGGACGATGAGGCGAATCACGAAGAGGTGTTGGACGTGGGGCGAATGAGGCAGGACATCCTCCGCAAATACGTCACCAGACTAGTCGCTAAGTTCGCGGAAATTGAAAATTATTAGTAACCAGTATAATATGTCATTTAAATACATTAATTTACTCGAAGGTTCAGATTCAATCTATACTAATATTATAAAGAGAAGAGATTTGTATTTTTGTATTGAAATAACTCGAATACTGGACCGATTTTAAAAATTCTTTCACCGTTAAAAACCTACGTTACCACTAAGTAACATAGGCTAGCTTTTATTTTATTTTTTAATCCACGCGGACGAAGTTGCGGGCAACAGCTACTATATCAAATCTCGGAATTTAATATAATTGTTTATTAGCTTAATTTTTGGTAGGAAATTTGTAGCATATTCTTGCCATTTTATTTAAGTGTGAAGTATGGCGAATTTTCTGTACCCAGTAATCTCATAATCGTAGGTAAGTTAAAAGATTTTTTATATAAAATTTACTGTTTAATAAACTGCTTGGGTAATACACATTTATGTTATTTAGAAATTAAATTTATTTATTTCGAAGTATTCGATATTATGTGTCTGTACTATTACCCAAATAAATTGCATAATATACTGCATATCATTGTATAAGATTTTATCATAATAACATATAAATATGTAAATATTTAATTTAAATAGTTTAGTTGATGAAGAGCATTTATATAAATATAAATATCTGTAACATATATTTGTAATAAAAAGTGCAGAATAGATTTTTTATTTATATTCCTAATTAGTTATAGCTGTTATGTATGCCACATCGCGTATATTCGAATCGTTAATAGAGAAATAATAATCATACTAATATTAGAAATGTGAAAAATTGAATAGTTGATGTTAGCACCGGACGCAGTTAGCTAGCCAAAGATGTAGTTCAATAAAAGTCAAAATTTACTCAGTAACTTTATTTTAAAATTAATTGACTTTTTTATATATCAGACTATTTCAGAAAGTTACATTTGACCAAATGTATTCAGTTTTTTTTTTCAAACAAAATCTTTCATAGTTTTTAAACACTCATAAATAGATTTAAACATAATTTAAAAAATAATTTTACTAACTAACAGTCCAAATTCTTGCATGAAAATATCACTAATGTAATAATTGTTAATAATTGTTTTTGACTCCATATCCTTGTAAATATCAATTATTAATTATAAATATATCATAATTATTAATAAATATTATTATTAACAGTTATTACAGTATAGTTGCCTACTTATATGTGCACAGTTCAAATACATACATTTTTATTTCCTAGGCAACAGATATGCGCAATCTTTACAGGCATCATCAATATTAGCAAATTTATATTTGAATCCATATTCGAGCACTCTCTTAGGTACTACATACTGGCCCTTGGTCACGATCATGGCCCTCTCCGGGTGAAGCATATAGTTCAACACGAATTCCGGAACTGGCAGAAATGCTGGTCTGCTCAATGCCTTTGCAAAAGACTGGAAAAATAAAAGGTTATAAGATAATATAAAGTCATCATCACCAGCTCACTAAACGTCCCCACCGAGGGGCTCGGAGCCTACCCTAAGTGAGGCTGACTAGGCCAAAGTCAACCACGCTGGTCAAGTTCGGGTTGGTCGACTTCACACATATCTTTGAATTTCTTCGCCGATATGTGCAGGTTGCATCACGATGTTTTCCTTCACCGTAAGAACGTCGGGTACATATGAAAATTCGAAAAATCGAAAAAATCACATTGGTACATGGCGGGATTCGAACCCAAAGACCTGTAGATTACAGGTCAAGTGCTTAAATCACTGAGCCACCAAAGTTCTTTTTAAAATAAAGGTAATATAAAGTATAGTATATAATATTTTCTTGGTATCTATTTTGAAAGATTGACTGCAAGATCCCTTACTTCAAACATGGACTTTTCTTACATATAGTTTTCTGCTTTCTTCTACTATAATAGCCTTTAGTACCCAGGGAATAAGAACTATTATTTTACTAATCTTGCTCCTTATTAATCGATATTATAAATGTGAAATTTTAGATGGATGGATGGATATTTGTTAGTTAGTTAGTTTTTAGCCTAAATGGCTAAATGGATCCTGATGATATTTGGCATAGATGTAGAGGATAGTCTGGAAGAACACACAGGCTAGTTAATGTTGTTTTTTTTTTAATTCGACGCGGATGGAGTCGCAGGTGAAAGCTAGTTTATAATAAAGATGCTTGAGTAAAGGATTTGGTTAGCAATTAAAAATAAAAAGGAATATGTACCTGTGTAAATTCTTCGTTAGTAACAACTTGTGGAGCAACACCATTCAAAATTCCTTTGACTTCTTCATTTTCTATAGAATACTGTATGAGCGCTGTGAGATCGTCAATATGTATCCACGGCAAATATTGCTTGCCTGAACCCAGCCTGCCTCCGAGACCAAAGAAGAATGGCACAATCATGTTCTTTATCATTCCACCGTTTCGACCGATTACTGCACCAGAACGGATTATGACCTGAAAAATATTAAAACATTTCTTATTCCTATTGTAACTAAATGATAAAAAGGAGACTCTAGATATTGTAGGTAAATGATATAAATTTTATGTGACAACACAAAATAAGTCAATAAATAAATAAAAAATATACATCATTGAAATAAAACTGTTTGTCAAAACATGTAATTCATTTTTCTCTTAAGAAAGACACATTATTTAAATTATGCTCAATAAATAGTATAATGATTTGACCTACAGGTATTACTATAACTGTTTATCAGACTACCATAAGTACCACCAATCATCATCATCATCTCCTTATCCTACTCCCATAGGGTCGGCGCAACAGGTTTTTGTCCTCCACATAACTCTATCATACGTCATCTCAGTCATCACTCCCTTTTTGATCATGTCACCTTTTACACAATCCATCCATCTCTTTCTAGGTCTACCTCTACCGATGTACCCTTCCACACTCATAACTAATGTTCTCCTTGTAACATACGATTCATCCCTCCTCATAACATGCCCATACCATGCTAACCTTTTACTCCTAACCTTCTCTACTATGGGGGCTACTCTCAAACTTCCTACAAACAAACCATAAGTACCACCAATACAACAAGTAAAATTTTGTCTTTTACTGTACAAATAAAGTCATTAAAAAACAAAGTTATTTTACTTACCAATCTTACAGGTGGGTTAACACTGGCTGCCTTTTCCCATTCCACTAAGAGTTTAGAAAAGAAATCAGTCCCAGTTGTTGGACTGCTTTCATCATATTTTATAGTTTCTGATGGTTCATATGCCCCAACTCCAGTAACCAATACAAAAACCCTTGGTTTCTTATTGGTTTGATTGATAGACTTTGCTAATGACTTTGTTGTGTAAACTCGTGAATTATGAACATTTTGTTTAAATCTGTTAGAAATACAAAATTTTGCTTATAGAAAATTAAGATGCAAAACAGAGACCTATTTTACATAGAGTATTTATGTGCATTATGTAAACTATCATTCCACTGGAAAACATTTGGACACTAATTATATTACTTGAAGTTAAAAATCTATGTTATAAATAACTTACCCAGGTGTCCAGCTCTTTTTAAAATCCATAAACTGTTGTCCTGCACAATTGACTACCGCAGTAGTACAATCTGGTAAGCCTGATTTCTCCAAAGTAGTCCAAGATATGTTATTAGCGGCGGGCATCCGTGATACATTTACTACGTTATAACCACTCATTGTAAGTAGTTTGTTTAAATTTTGCCCTATAAAACCGGTACCGCCACCTGTCCAAATAATGACTTTAAATGCAATAGAAATAAAAAAAAAATTAAAACAATTCTAGATCAAATCTTAACCAAATAAAATGTTTAATTTGACAATAATTAACTTACCAATTAAAACCTTCTTAATTGACATGATAGTGTTATATAATAATGTTATGAAATGCCTTTATGAGATAATATTGTGTTTTGGAAGAGTTCTCAAAATATTTTCAGTTATAATTCCATATTCACATTAATAACTGATTCTGTTATTGTATTTAATTGCATTAAAGTTCAAGAATAATAAACAATATAACACCGCACACAGCTGTTTGACTGACACTGACATTAATGACATTTGGACATTGCCTTTTTTACTTCGCAAAATGTGCAGAATTATAGTACGAAATCAGTGGGAGAATTTATATTTCCAGATATTTTTCTTTTCAGAATATCTTGGGTGAAAAAGATAGGACCTAACTATAATTGCAAATCGCAACAAGCCAGAAGTTAGATTATAAAGCATTTATTCTTCACAACTAAACCGTATATTATCTATATCTGCTAATGTAACTGTCAGGTGTCAGTGTTTTATGTTTATTTTAAATTTGTTTACTCCGGTTTTAACTATTTTTACTACAATTTTTCTGTATGAAATAAGAGTAGTTGTTTTGCTATTAAGTTTAATCTTGTACTAGTATTATGTAATTTATAAGTGTCTTATTTTGTATGACTCTAACGCAATAAGAAATTCAGAACACTACTTGTTATATTAAGTGAATGTATAAAATTTAAATAATTGCTATGTATTTGTAAGATGATTCCATTGTATGTAGATAATGGTGTGGCTTATGTATGGAATGCGGACGGTTTGTTTTAAAATATTCATTTGATAGCTATTCTACTCGAAAACATACAGATACTTAAGAAATATTTTACAGATTGGCTGACACTTCGTACAAAATCTCGTATATGTGGAGCTCTAATTGGAACAGTTCCTTCATTTCCTAGACAAAATGATTTTCAAGGTCTGTAAATGTAAAAAGAGTAAAACACAATAATATGTTATAAAACTAAGATGTGATATTTTGATTTTTGCAGGACTACCTTTGGCTCTTATGTCTGAAGAATCGGCTTTATTAGTTGAGATTGGTGTTTGTGAATTACACATTGCAAAAAATTTGAATGATGCCCCTGGAGAAGAGGAAAAACTGAATATTGAAAGTTCAGAACAAAAGTATAAGATATAAATTGGTTACATTGCTTGGTTGCAAGTTATAAAGTACAATAAAATTTTAATTATATTTTAGGATACTAGAAGAGCAAAATGAGGCATTCCGGAAAAAGAAAATTGAACAAATATCACAAAAAATTGACATTATACTAGCAGGAAAGCAACAAAAGTTATTACAAAAAGGACTTTCTGGTATGTTATTGCTAAATGGCTTTTCCTAATTGAGCTTATTGAGAGAGTTATTAATCATTCTTAAAATAATATGAAATAACCAATATACAAATCTAATACAAATACAAATAATAATATGCAAATTGATGACGCTGAACATATAAAAATAATCTCATTTATATTTACAGATGTGCACTTAGACAAAGAAACATTATTACAAGAAGAAATAAATAAGTTTCCAAGTTTAACAGCATCTCAAGCATTGGTGCATCTCCCCACAGAACATGGAAGAGAGTTAGGCAGGTGTCTAATTATGGGATACAGTTATATTTTGAAGCCTAGATATTTGTAGTTGAACATGAATTAAGTTTTCAAAAACCAATTTTTCTGGGATGTCTAATTGTTAGTCTACTATTAGAATGAACTTTGATTCCATGTATGAGTAGTTTTAATTTGATTGAACTATTTTGACTATTACTTTTCAAATAATTTGTACTACATACTAATATCCATTTAAATGTACTGTTTACAGTCACAGAAACAGTGTCAATTGATTGCTTGCAACCAAGTGTAGTTGATAGAGAGGGCAGTATCCGATATAAAACTTTTAAGGATCTTTGGTCAAAAGGACATTATATAACAAGTGGGTCTAAATTTGGCTGTAACTATTTACTATATCAAGGTAATTACCAGGTACTTTGTCTTATTCTGTTTATGAAATCTGTTACAAGTTCATTAATAATTTTCATTGATATAGCAACCATTGTAAACTGTCCTGTAAAAGATAAGAACTTAACCATAAATGTTTGTAGATCTAAAAATATTTGAAGGGATAATGCATTAAAAATATGTATTGAACATTACATATAAGCATATTTTTACTAAATGTTTGTAAATAATTGTGTGATTTGTATTTTTTTTTTTTCAGGAGATCCTGTAAGATTTCATGCCACTTACATGGTTCGATGTGTATATGACACATTAGCTCAATTCCGACCAACTAACTTGGTTGCTTTTGGTCGACTGTCAGTTGCTGTTAATAAATTAGCTATACTAGCTTTCGCTAACGGTAATTGCGAGATCGAATATCAAACACTTCAATGGCACGATAATATAAACTGATTTAAATATGTATCTGTTTTTGATTAACCCAATTTTTTGAGTATAACCACCTAAATCAGGAAATCCTCTCTTTGCCCAATGTAGATCGACAAGATTAGTTAAATTGTTGTATAATTTGAAGAGAAAGGGAACAAATTGTTGGTTCGCAATTATTAACGAATGTTATCATCTCTTCCGGCTTATATTAGGAGTGTAATTTTACTAAGATTTTTTTTATGTAGTCTGCCCCAATTAATCGTAATAATGTTACTAATAACTTGCAACACTTACTAATTGTCAATGTCAAAAACTGAATCATAGTGTTTCCAAAAAAATAAGACTTGTTTAAAATTATCTTTTAAAATCTGATAAAATAATTATTTTGATATGGATGATCCTGAACTTGAACGAATTCGGCAGCAACGCCTTGCCCAATTACAAGCACAACATGGGGTATGTTTTTGTTATTTTAGGTTATATACTAAAAATATTTGGTTGCCAAGATCATGTTGTTCCTAAACATTAAGACTCGATTTTTCTTCTTTTTAAGGGTACAGGAGATCCTAATCAAGCTAAAGCTCAAGAAGAAAAGATGAGAGCTATGGAAGATGCAAAACATTCGATTTTGGCACAAGTGCTCAGTCAAGACGCAAGAGCCAGATGTAATTTAAATGCTATTTTTAACGTCTTTATATTAAAATTTTACACCAACTAACATCGTTTTCCTGTTCCAGTGAACACAATAAAGCTTAGTAAGCCAGAAAAAGGAGCTATGGTTGAAAATATGATATGTAGAATGGCACAGATGGGACAATTAAGCGGGAAAATATCGGAAAGTGAACTAATTGAATTGTTACAATCTGTGAATCAACAAATGCCGAAGACAACAAGCACTGTCAAGTTTGATCGCCGTAGAGCCGCTCTGGATTCGGATGATGATGATTTCTAGCAAACGGAGAGATCTTATTTTTGTAAAAGCTTTCAGCTGCTTATTATGTGAGCTCAGAACTACTCTTACTTTTGAAAGCTAATGGTGTCTGATTAGTCTAAGAAAGTGTTAATATGTTTGTCTCAATGTAACACATTAAATTGATTTCTCTCATGTATTTGCTATTTCTATGTTAAAATTTGTAACATAATTTCGAGTGATAATTGTTACAAAAAGCAAATACATTTTTGTTTTAATTAAAAAAAATGGTTTTGGATACACAGGATCATTATATTTATTAAAACAATAATTTAAAATATATCACTAATCAGCGAGTATAAATATTTTAATAATGGTGTTTTTTGCATTTAGTATACAGAATGTCAATAGAATATTAGTATATTATACACCTACTTACTATTAATATATTTACTGCCAGTCTTGTTAGTAACTACCCTATTTTTCTCTTTTATAAAAATGACATCCTTATTATTTATGATTTTCACAAGGAATTTGTAACTAAAGTACATTACACTTAACAAAAACGTTTTATAAAATAAATTAATACTCTTATATTCTATACTTAATTCTACCTATAATACATGAAAAACAAACCGGAAAAATAAAAAAAAAACAATCTTGATTCAATAAGTTTGAGAACATTCAATTAAAACATAATTATAATTTGATTGAAGAGAACAATCATACTTCTTACTAATATAAATGCGAAAGTTTCGATGGAGGGATGTCTTGTTTGAGTTTGTAGTCTAAATAGCTGAAGGTATTTGAATGAAATATGGTACAGACATAGAGGATAGTCTGGAAGAACACTACTCACTTTTGTTTTTTTAAATTCCATGTGGATGGTGTAGGCAAAAGCCAGTATTAAATAAAGGGTTATTCATCATTTAAGGTGGTTCTAATAAAATGACTTACACTTAGTTAAAATAACAAGGCTGTGTAATCCTGTCAAGTTTTACTAATGTTAATTTTATTTATCTATCAAACTAATGTCTACATGTACACTGCTGACGTCGCTTCAAGCACATTACCCTCTATGTCCACATTTATGTACCTGAACCAATTCTCGTACCTGCAGTGGACTTCGAGTTAATTACCTACTGTATATGTCCAATTGCTATTGAGTTTTTCAAATGGATTAGATAACAAGACCAATTGGCAATGATAACGTGAACAGATTTTTTAGTTGTTCGTATTTAAAATCGTTTAAAACATTGATTAAATTTTATATACTTCAATATTCGATAATATCGACATTGGTGATGATCGATGTGCTAAGTTATCAGTTTATATCTGCATAGTGAATATTATAAAAGGCATAATCTTTTACTGTAAGAAGTGTTAATGACGAGATGGCGCGTACAACACTGATCGTGTTGTTTGCGGGCTTCGCCCTTGTATCAGCCGGGAACTCTCCCCACGCTAGTGATATTGAAGATTTAGTTAGTAGTGATATCTTCAAGCCTCGGTTTTCAGACAATGTACTAGAGGATGCTAAATTAGACGTTGTAAGTAATACGTTTTATCTCATAGTCTTTTTTACATTGCTTTGTTAAACACAAAAGACTACAGATGGCTTGTATATAAATATAAAAATTTAAATTACCTAATTTATCTGCACTGTATATGTTAACAGGTATACCTATTAACTACAGGGTTAATACGTCAAAGAAGAATTATCTTTATATTATATTTCTTTGTCCTAATGTCATAATATCAAAATTCCACTGGTTAATTCTAACATCATTATTTGTCCATTTCTTTCAATCTTGAGGTGTAGTTAGATTTATCCAACTTAAAATAAAAAATAGTTTCAATTTTCTCTTAGTAACAAGCTTTCAGCAACATCGGAATGTAGCGCAGGGTTATCTTTTTATTTTTACGCAAGCTGTTAGCAACAGTATATCTAGATGTTATTTTATGGTGACAATCTTTAAATTACCTTTACTTTTCAAGCCCGAACTTGTTCGGAAATACAGATATCCATTGGAAGAGCACGAGGTGACGACTTCAGATGGATACATTCTACGGATGCACCGTATTCCTCATGGCAGAGACTCCAACAATGTCCCCGGGGTGAAGCGGCCCATAGTGTTTTTGATGCACGGTTTACTGTGCTCTTCAGCTGATTGGGTTATTATGGGCCCTGGCAATGGTTTTGGTACGATAAAAAAATTTCCTCTCTTACTATATTTTAACGTTAATTAAATGTTAACATATCAGTTGTTTTGCAGCATACATTCTCGCTGAAAATGGATTCGATGTATGGATGGGCAACGCTCGCGGTAACTACTATTCTCGTAGACATATCCGTTATAATCCTAACTCAATATTGAGCAACTCTTTCTGGGAATATTCCTGGGATGAGATCGGAAATATAGATCTACCAACGATGATAGATTATGCATTAAAGAACACAGAACAAGAAAAACTCCATTACATCGGACATTCTCAAGGCACAACATCGTTCTTTGTCATGGCGTCGCTTCACCCTGAGTACAACAATAAGATAATTTCTATGCATGCGTTTGCCCCTGTTGCGTACATGGCACATAACAAGAGTCTTCTGTTAAATATCTTAGCACGTTTTACAAGCGATATAGAGGTAAATATTCAATAGTATAGTTGCATACGCAAAGTACACAAATAATTATGATATGTTAGGTTTAGTAAATAGTTAACCTTAATGAGAAGTTTAGAGGTTAATTGCATCTTAAAACTACTTTTTAAATAGTGCGTTTTGCAAACATTACGAAATTAGTAATGTTGATGAATATTCTGTGGCAGAATGGTAAAAGAAACGCTTATAAATGTAATGTAGAAAGAATATTTTTTAAAAATATAACAGCTATCCTTACTTTACTGAATAGATTTAGTAAAGAGCAAAGACTAGATTTAAAATATCCTACAGGTATATTTAAATAGAAACTTGTAGTAGTGACGTATGATTATTTTTAGGAACTTGCAAGCCGATTTGGAATAGGTGAATTCATGCCTAACAATCAGATAATGACGTGGGCAGGAGAGGCAATGTGCAGGGATCAGGTCTCTACGCAGGCGATTTGTAGCAACATATTATTCCTTATCGGTGGATGGAACGAGGATCAACATAATGCGGTAAATTTAAAAACATTTATCAATCTAAAATATTTACTGAAATATTGAAAATAACGCCATCTATTTTGAGATAGAAATAGTTATTATTTTTTTTTATTTTCACAGACAATGATGCCAGCTATATTCGGTCACACTCCAGCTGGATCCTCTGTGAGACAGTTCGCTCACTTCGGACAAAGTATTGCTGGTAAAGAGTTCCGTCGCTACGATCATGGCTTGTTGAGGAATATGATTGTATACGGCAAGATAAAGCCTCCGAAATACAATCTAGCGAATGTTAAAGTACCCACATTTTTGCACTACTCCAACAACGATCCTTTATCTCAAGTGAGAGATGTTTATCGTTTACACGAAGAGCTAGGACATGGGATCAAAATGTTGTTACCATTGCCTTCATTTACGCATTTAGATTACATGTGGGCTATAGATGCGAGGGTAATATTGTACGACAGAGTTATAAGTTTGCTTAAATCTACTGGAAACTGACAATTTTAAAATATAGAGATATTCTGTTTTTCATGTAATAAAGTTTAATAATTTTCGTTGACTACATTTTTTATTTGTGTGTATTCACTACAGTTTTCATCATAAATGCTTGAACTTTTGGACTTAACTTAATTCTTAAGATCTATGGGGACAAAGTTAACAGATTAGAAGATTGGTAATATGACAAAGTGCAATTGTTTTGTTCCACACTTTTGAATATCCACGCAAAAATTATGCACTAATCCCATTCAGGATTGCAAATCATTTAAGTAAAACTAAGAACAAAATATTTCCTCTTCTAAATAAAGAAAACGAGGAATAGTATCTAATGTGATTTCACAAGACAGTTACTGTTGTAGTACTGCTAAAATTTTGAAGCCTTTAATTTTACTCCTACTTCAATTCTATCTTAATATCTTCTATATAAATGGCCGATTTTAGTATAGTATTTTTTTAAGATTGATATCATGAATGATGTTATAAAATATATGAAACGAAAGAAATTAGAAGACATATAAGATATATACAGTTGTATATTTGTTTTAACGTCGTAATTTTTACATAAACACCTGACTTTGATTTTAGCTAAAGTTAAGAGTCTTAACATAACTTTATTATAATAAGATAAAGAAATGAATTTATGATAATGATCAGAAAAATAGTTAACCTTATGTAGAATTAAATAAGGTACAATTTAAAAATTATCATTACTTTTCTGGTACTGAAGATCGACATTGATGATAAAAATTGGCTATCGTAAATGATGTACTCTTATATAAAAGACCTGATAACTCTTGTTTTTTTTAATTGACGATATGTGGCAAAGAAAGCTATTTGTGTTTTTCATCGGGGTGACTCTAGCTTCAGCTGGGAGGGCTCCAAATGCCGACTACATTGAGGAATTGGTCCAAAATGAGAGTTTTGGTCCACGATTTTCGGATAATTTATTAGAAGACGCCAGATTGGATGTCGTGAGTATATTTATGTCGATAAATGCTTTACATTTTAAATTTAATCTCCTTTGGTTTAAGAAAAGCAATAAGTACAATCTGTTATTACAAAAGGAAACGGCATTAGTTATAATTTGATTACATAACTATTGAGCTATTTACCGACAGCATACGGTTTCAAATTTTTAAATTTGAAAATGGAATTTTTAATTTTTCTAGCCAGAACTCGTCCGAAAATACAGATATCCATTGGAAGTACACGAGGTGACGACTTCAGATGGATATATTCTACGAATGCACCGTATTCCTCACGGCCGAGACCAGAACAATGTGCCGGGGATGAAGAAACCTGTAGTATTTCTAATGCATGGATTGCTCAGTTCCTCCGCTGATTGGATTGTTATGGGGCCTGGCAATGCTTTTGGTAATTACATGTAATTTTTTTCTTTGATATGTAGGACCTAGATCATGGTGATTTCGATTGTGTTAAATTAAATAGGAAGATAAAACTGTTGAGGCGAGTTTAATTGTTATTTTACATTTCGCAAGGATTAACCGATTCCTTATTTTGTAGGTTATATCCTAGCGGAATATGGATTCGACGTTTGGATGGGCAACGCCCGCGGTAACTACTATTCCCGTAGACACGTCCGTTTAAATCCCAACTCTATATTCAGCAACGCTTTCTGGGAATTCTCCTGGGACGAGATTGGAAATCTTGACTTACCAGCAATGATAGATTATGCTTTAAATCACACGGGACAAAAAAAACTTCATTACGTTGGTCATTCTCAAGGCACGACTGCATTCTTCGTCATGGGTTCACTTCGGCCTGAGTTTAACAACAAAATATTATCTATGCATGCTTTTGGTCCCGTTGCGTACATGGCGCATAACAAGAGTCCTTTGTTAACCGCAATTTCACCATTTGCTAACAGAATCGAGGTAAGAAATCGTATTAATGAGAGACAGAACGTTGGCTTTCTCTTATCATAGTCTATGTTTTAGGATCTTGCTTCTCTTATTGGCATAGGTGAATTTATGCCAAATAATTTAATAATGACTTGGGCCGGCCAAGCTATGTGCAGGGATGAAGTGGTGACGCAGGCGATCTGTAGTAACATATTGTTTCTGATTGGAGGATGGAATGAAGCGCAACACAATGCTGTGAGTATTAGCTTGATAATTAGACGTGTCATAAGACTTATGAACTTGGCTTGAACCTTCTGTGATAAAGTTTTAAACCAGAACAAGGTAGTGCCATATAAAATGTTTATTGATAAGATTAGAGTTAGTTACCTTAAGTCTGCTTGGATTCGTCAATGCTCTTCAGCCTGCTTACATATTCCTCTACTTTTTTAAAGATATAGTTCATAGACAAAACAGAAGACAATTTTTCTTATATTACTATCTAATCATTTCTTTTTATAGACAATGTTACCGGTAATACTAGGCCACGCCCCCGCCGGTGCTGCAGTAAGACAGTTCGTTCACTACGGACAAAGTATCGCTGGTAAAGAGTTCCGCCGCTACGATCATGGCTGGATGACTAATTTACGTGTTTACGGCAACATGAGACCACCGAAATATGATTTGGGCAATATTAAAGCTCCCGTATTTTTACACTACACGTACAACGACCCACTGTCTCAAGTCGAAGATGTTGATCGTCTTCATAATGAGCTGGGAGCGAGTACCAAAATGCTTGTACCCTTACCTTTATTCAATCATTTAGATTTCATATGGGGAATAGATGCAAAGGAATTGTTGTTTGACGGCGTTATTAAAATTATGCGATCTATTCGTGTATAATTTTAATATGGAATTACAAAGAAGAAGAAAATGCTCGTGTACTGTATTCGCTAGATTCGTGAGAAAATAAATGTAATGTCAAATATCATGGACCAAAATATTAAATAATGTTATTTAGTAACCGAATGTGTGTTTATTACATTATTTTAATATACATCATTACGTTGTTTTTTTTAATCGTTCTGAAGCTTCAAAATGTGTACAAACCATTAGTTAATCGTTTAATATGTATCTGCAAATGCTAATTACAATGGGCAGCGGTCACTTCGCTATTTTGACCAATTCAGAAGGATGGATTGTTTGCCAACTACTATAACAGTTATCTTTTTATATTACAAGGCAAATGAGCGAGCGGCCACCTGAATTACTACAACTACTTTCTCTTCCCATCCTCCCGTAAAATAAAATGGTGGGAAAGGAAAGAAACTAATTAGGCCTCCAATCGTTATCACTTTTCTATCAAATTATTTTTCAATGATATCACTATGAAACTTATCTGTTTCTTCGTAAGCGGTCGTTGAATAGTTATAACAAAAACAAGTAGCAAATACCTAATTGATTTAGTGTTGATATCAGATTTAAAGATAATACAAAGATTTGGTATCAGTTGATGACGTCTATTCAGATGTTCTTTAAATCACGGGGGTCTATTCTCAACATGCGGAGTAATGATGATAGTGTCCATCTTTGAAACGCATACAAAGAAACATTGTCATACTTTTCATTCATTTTGAGAAAACATAGACAAGAATATTAATATTTTGTAAATAGAAGAACAAGAACAACTCATAAATGTTTAGTTCTCATTATTATGTTTAAAAATCCGTCTTTCTGATGTAAAGATCTACAACGTTTAGGCGGTTATTGGAAACGATTTATTTATACTTTTATTACTGGCAAATCTTGTTTTTTGCCGGCATTCGAACCCACAAAGACGGGGTGTCCAGTAGAATACAAACACAACTTATTGCACTCCACCGATTTGGTATTAAACTTATGTTTGTAATCACGGATATATGTTATTTAATAAACAAGGATTAGTTATACAAATAAACAAAACATTATAACCCGGAAAAATAAAGGATTTATCTTGATTTATTTTTCCGGGTGCCTAACTATATTCAAATATGGTTCAATATATCGTTTATTTTATATTAAGATAAGATTTGTGGGGATTAAATTATTTGGTATCTTAATACTAAAGAATATAAAACATACGTTAGTTATTTGATCTTGGTTGTTTTTTTTTTGGCTACCGACATGTCCGGTAGAATATTGTTGTTATTTGCTGGACTGGCTTTAGTGTCTGGAAGATCACCGCAATCTGAGTATATTGAAGAGATTCTCAGGACTGAGACGTTTGGTGAACGATTTTCAGACAATATAAAGGAAGATGCTAAATTGGACGTAGTAAGTGACTTTAAAATTTACTTATAAAGATAAGTCACAAGAAAAGTCAAAACTATTGTTAAATAACACATTGCTGTATTTATAACTAGCTTTCGTCCGCGACTTCTTCCGCTATGTATTTAGAAAAAACAAAAATTAGTAGCCTATGTGTTCTTCCAGCCTACGGGTTACACCTATGCCAAATTTCATCTACCAGCCGTTTAGACTACAAACTCTAAAAACATTCATCCATTCATTCATCCATCTAAACTTTCGCATTCATAATATTAGTAAGGTTAGCAAGATTGTAACGTAACGTAGTCAGTCTTCATGTTAAAGTGTTTCTTAAATTTTTAGCCTGAACTTATTCTAAAATACAAATATCCACTGGAAGTGCACGAGGTGACAACTCAAGATGGATATATTCTGCAAATGCACCGCATACCACACGGTCTAGATCAGAACAATGTGCCCAGTTCAAAGAGACCCATTGTGTTCTTGATGCATGGCTTACTTTGTTCATCGGCTGATTGGATTATATCAGGGCCTGGCAGTGCCTTTGGTAAATATAAACTTAAATACCAAATTCCTTACTTTTCTTTTACTAGATTCCTTTTGACTCTGAACCTCTTGTAATAAATACATTTCATTCTCATCATGTACATCCTCAATTTCATTTACTAACATCGTACAATCTTGGATTTTCCCATGGAACCGTAGCATTGAGATAAAGTATTTAAAACCTATTTGTCTATAATATACTAATATGTTTTTATTTATTACCGTTTATTTTGAAGGTTACATTCTCGCTGAAGAAGGATTTGATGTATGGATGGGTAACGCTCGTGGAAATTATTATTCACGCAATCATGTTAAATTGAATCCCGATAATACAGATTTCTGGGACTTTTCTTGGGATGAAATTGGCAATATTGACCTTCCAACAATGATAGATCATGCTTTAGCAGTAACAGGGAATGAGAAAATTCACTACATAGGGCATTCTCAGGGTACGACAGCCTTCTTTGTCATGTGCTCTCTTCAGCCGAAATACAATGACAAAATAATTTCCATGCACGCGTTTTCTCCAGTTGCGTTTATGGCGTATAATGAAAGTCCTGTATTAAATGCTATATCTCCGTTTGCAAACAGCATCAAGGTAAATATGCACTAATTTAATATTTTTTTTTTGTAAAATGTCAAATAATATGTATGCCTTTTTTTCCACATTTCTTTATTAACTCTGAACTTAATTCTTTATCTTCGATGCTTTCGTTAGGAAATCTAATTAGTGGAAGAAGATTTTGAAATTTCTAATGATCTCACTTCAGATTCTAGCGTCTCTCATCGGTATTGGTGAAATAATGCCAAATACTTTATTGCTGACATGGGCCGGACAGATATTCTGCAAAGATCGCGCGGTTACCCAGGAAATTTGCAGCAATATTTTGTTCTCTATTGGTGGATGGAATGATGCACATCTTAATACCGTATGTATTCATTTTCAATACTAAATTATCTTCAGTATTTTAATCAAGCTTAATATTTTGTTAAGTGGTAGAGTTTAGGCAAATGGATTCGAAACTAAGACGTTCAAGTCCAGAGTCCTTCCTTTAATTTTTAAAAGACAGCTATGAACATTTTGATTTAATGTCACTTAATATTTTAATTAGGAAAATAACTGATTCAATATAATATGTTCTTGAGGAATTATGCATTTACTAATAAAAAAAAATTATTCTTTTCAGACAATGATGCCAGTTATTTTCGGGCACACTCCTGCTGGTTCATCAGTTAAACAGTTTGCTCATTACGGTCAAAGTATCGCTACAAAAGAATTCAGACGTTATAACCACGGCTTTGTTAAGAACTTAAGATTGTACGGTCGTAGGAGTCCGCCTAAATACGATTTGTCTAATGTCGTTGTACCTATATTCTTCTATTATTCCGACAACGATCCTTTGTCTCAAAGTAAAGACGTCTATCGTTTGTATGAAGAATTGGGTAGTGAAAGTAAAGTACTCTTACCTTTGCCTTCATTCGGTCATTTAGATTATCTTTGGGGTATAAATGTAAAACCATTATTGTACGATACTGTCATACAATTGATGGAAGTCGTAGACTAGTTATTTTATAAAACGACTGATATTTACGTAACCATTGCATCTTAAGATATAAGTGAATTATTTATTAAATTATTGTTTATAAATGTTTGGAAGACTTTTTATTTTATATTAGCTACGTCTACAGCCCACGACGCCGTCCGCATAGAATTAAAAAAAAATACTAAAGTCTTTGTGTTCTACAAGAATATATGCACTATATCTATGCCAAATTTCATCGAGACTGTTGTACGGATCTCGATGAAATTTCAGGCTACAAACGCCAACAAACATCCATACATCTAGACTTTAGCGTTTATACTCGTAATATTAGCAAGATTTATTCCTATTTCGATTACTTTATGGTAATGCTAAGGAAAAGAATCGTTTGACGTACCAGAAACAATTTTCTGTTTGTCTGTCAATAATTTTTTAGTAGACATTTTTGTTCTTGGCTCATGAAACATTTTGAAAACCAGTGCTTTTTTAAGATTTGTTGCAAATTATAGAATTTCTCGATGCATAAATATGAAAATTATTTTAGAAATGCTAAACAAATACGCCATCTTGCGAGAACTGAGGTAAACCTATTAAATGAGGAGCTATGTAAAGATATAGTTGGATCTGGGCATATGATGAGTGTACAGTTAAGTTATAGATGGCGTTAGAGTTGCTCTATCATACTAATCATAATTATAAATGCGAAAGTTTAGATGAATGGATGGATGTTTGTTAGAGTTTGTAGCCTAAATTGCTCAATGTAATTTGGTACAGATATAGAGGATAGTTTTAGAGAACACTTTGACTACTTATTTTTGTTTCTTAATTCGACACGGACGGTGTCGCGGGCGACAGCTAGTTTTTCATAAATATGTATATATAAAAAGATATAAACGTTTATGATAGGTGTTGCTCGCGACTTCGTCCGCGTGACTAAATAATAATAGAAAAAAATGTAGCCCATGTTACAGATACCTTACTAATGGTGAAAGAATTTCAAAATTGGCCCAGTATAGTACGTGTATTAGTATATTAGTTATTACGTGAATCGAATACATACAAAAATCCAAAAATGCAAATCTTTTCTCTTTTTAACATAAAATAGATAAATGGTGACCGCTAAATGTTTCGTCCATGTCTTTCCAAGGAGATTAATTCAGTTAATATAATTATTACGACTTTTTTAATGTAAATAGTCACGACAATTTTTGCGTTAGTGCTAATTCAATGTTAACTGAATCAAGCTCGTGATGTTCGCATAAATTTCGAAAATTACTACTTGCTCGTAGTTAATAGAATTTCGTGTAATTTGTAGAGACATGGTTGTTATAGTAAAAATATCAAAATCTTAATACCTACATTTTTTATAGAAACAGAAACTGATGTAAAATTATTTCAGTGATGAATAATAAAAACTTTATTCCGTCAACTTTGTGATCACTTGACTGCAGAAATGTCCGGCAGAATATTACTAGTGTTGATTATGAGCATGTCTGTTGTATCCGGAAGGTCTCCACATGCGGACTATATCGATGAGTTGATTAGAAGTGGGAGCTTCGATTATTTCTTTCCGGATAACACATTGGAAGATGCTAAATTGGACGTGGTAAATCATATGTTAATTTTATAATGTGTTCTTCAGCACCAAAATATTAATGACTAACATTTTCGCCGACTCTATTCACGTAGAATAAAAAAATTGTAAACATCCTATGTTCACCAGTTACATAGCTTTTTAAGGATGCAAAAATTTTTGAAATCGTGTTATTTTTGAGAAATTGACTTATTTCAATATGTAAAAATCTAAATGTAAATCTTTCCTCTTTATAATATTAGTATGGATAAATTAATTATCTAGCCTGGACTGATCCGAAAATACAAATATCCATTGGAAGTGCACGATGTAACGACTCCAGATGGATACATTTTGCAAATGCACCGCATTCCACACGGCCGAGATCAGAACAAAGTTCCTGACCCAAAGAGACCCGTGGTGTTTCTAATGCATGGGATGTTATGTTCTTCAGCCGATTGGGTCATGACGGGACCTGGCAGTGCCTTTGGTAACTAAACTACTTTTTATAATAACAAATATACAAATTACATATTAACTAGCTTTAACCCGCGACTCCATCCGCGTGAAATTAAAATAAACAAAGGTGATTAGTGCTCTTCCAGACTATCCCCTACATCTACACCAAATTTCATCGTAATCCGTTCAGCCGTTTAGGCTATAAACTCCAACAAACATTCATACATCTAAACTTTTGCATTTAAAATATTAGTAAAATTATATCCTTTTTGGTATTGCCACTTAATCCAAAAATGTTTATTACTGTCTAAATATGTTTTTTATGGATGTAATGTCGGTCACTTAAACACTATCCTGGCTTACCCGTCTACGGACGAGGCCGAGATGGTGTTTAAGTTGGCCGACATCTGTTTTAAGAAAACAATCAGTTAATTAAGTTTTGTTTGTTTAAGATTTATGGGGCGTTATCGTCGCTTCGCGACAAAGCCCCCTGTAAAAATAAATAAAAAAAAATATGTTTTCCAGGTTACATTCTCGCCGAAGAAGGATTTGATGTATGGATGGGTAACGCCCGTGGAAATTATTATTCACGAAGACATATTAGTATGAATCCTGATGATACTGAATTCTGGGAGTTTTCCTGGGACGAAATTGGAGATATAGACTTACCAACAATGATAGACTACGTTTTAGATCATACGGGAAGATAGAAAATTTATTACGTCGGTCATTCTCAAGGCACGACAGTTTTCTTCGTTATGTGTTCTCTGCACCCCGAGTACAACTATAAAATTGAATCCATGCACGCGTTTTCTCCCGTTGCGTATATGGCTCATAATGAAAGCCCCTTATTAACAGCAATTGCCTCGTTTGACAACAGTATGAAGGTAATATAAGAATATAAGCACTAGAAGAATCTAATGTGCTATTCTTTCACAAAAATAATAAAAGCATGTTTGTATTTGTATATGTTCGAGAAAGTTAAATATACTCGTATTGTGTCATCATTTTCTATACCATTATGTCTGCTTACGCAATAGCCGTTGTTACTGCTTCCCTCACTAAGGCTCCTTTTAAAATCAAGGACAAAAAGAAGACCTTACGGTTTTTGTTATTTTTTCAGATTCTGTCAGTCCTTCTTGGTGTTGGAGAAATAATGCCTAATAATTTATATCTGAAGTGGGCTGGAGAATCTTTCTGTAAGGACCAAGCCATCACACAAGTGGTCTGCAGCAACATATTATTTTATATAGGAGGATGGAGCGATGACCAACTTAATACTGTGAGTACATTTGAGTTTTAGGAGTGTTACGACTTTGTTTACATTTATAATGATTCATTCTATTAATTCAATCTTCTGCTAAAATCGCCTATCAAAATATAGCTGCAAATTTGATTAAATACTTGTTTGCAATTTAAATGATCTAGGACTTGTAAAAGGTTTGTAAACTCCTTTTTCTAACTTGCTCTAATCGAGCTAATACATCTATAGATAATAACATTTTGTATGAATCTTTACAGACAATGATGCCAGTATATTTCGGTCACACACCAGCCGGTTCATCCGTTAGACAGTTCATACATTACGAACAAGGCGTCTCAACTAAAGAATTCCGTCGATACAACCATGGCCCATTGAAGAACCTCGTGGTATACGGCACTCGACATCCGCCCAAATACGATTTATCAAACATATTGGTTCCTGTATTTTTACATTATTCTAATATCGATCGTTTGGCAGCGATTCCAGATGTCAATCGCCTTTACAAGGAATTGGGGAGTAGAAACAAAATGATGCTGCTTCTACCTTCGTTCAATCATTTTGATTTTGTTTGGGGAATTAATGCAAAAACATTGTTGTATGATGTTGTTTTACGGTTGATGCGTTTCGTTGGCGATCAGGATAATTTCATGCGTAAACCGTATCTTGCCGAGTATTACAAAAATTAAACCAAATACTTTACATTTAACTTGTTTATGTACTTTTAAAGTAATTACTATAATAGTTATGTTGTAAACGTGATTGTTATCTTTTATAATAAAATTGGCAATATTTTTTGTAATTAGTTATTTTATTATCGACTACAAAAAGAAACATAAGTTTAAATTAAAATTAAATTGTAAGGGAAGATTATCAAATTAATAAATAAAAGATATTGTGTTGAAATCTTTACTGCATGTTACAAAAAGCTATAAAAATACACAGTACGCAATAAACAACAACTAATTCCATCTTAGATATAAAGATGTAGTTATCTATAGTAGGTTATAGAATTCGTCCAAAAGTATCTTAGTTACGAGTATATTTAAACACGTAAATATATTAAAACCCTTATGCTAGTATTATTTTGTTCTGTGTCAATACATTCGTTAAAACGAATCTATCATATCGTTTAATCAATCTCCTACGTAAACGATTATTACTTTATAAGATAAAGAAATACATAAATTAAAGTTTTCCGTTATGATAATACTCAAATATATTAGATAGTTCAATTAAGATTGTTACAATCTGATATGATTCATAATAAAATTGTGCTATCCCTTTGTTCAATTGCTTTTGCCACACGTATTGTGTTACGACGAGTCAACAGTGTGAATATTTTTGATGTTTTTGAGAAGCATGTCAAATTTTACTCGAAAGATAGATTTTAATATAATCCTCATAGAGAAAGGATAGTGTTACAAAGATAATGCTGTTACCAAAATTGGAAAAGATGTGTGATTTCGAATGAATAATGCAAAAATAACAAAGTTCTAACGAAATTGAAATCCTAACTTCCATTAAATAAGAAATTGGTGAAGCAGAAAAGAAAAACGATTAAAAAGTAAGATAAGGGTAGACAAAAATGTCAGAATGCAACTAGAAATTATTTCGGTTTGTCGATGTTTCTTAATTGATGTCACCATTAACATAAGGATATTCTTACTGTTATAGTCACAGATTTGAACATTAATTATCTCGATTCAAGACTGCCCATTTAGATATGAATATCTAATAAGCCTAATATCGGATTTGACAGCGCTTTTATAAATTCAATTTTAGGTTATGAAATTAATTTCAGTCAGTTTTGAAGTGGCTAATTAATTATTAAAATTTAGGATTATGGAAAGGTAATCTTTAGTGCTATCTAAATAATTTTCTAATGAATTTTTCACGGAAATGTTAATTTTCTTTATATTTCTGAAGGTAACAAGAAAATGTATAGTCGTTTAAGATTTCTATTCCCTGTGAACGGATTGTACTATATTTGTTGCTAATTCTCACAAAATAAATCGATGATTGAAATCTGTTTATGATAATATTGATATATATCTCAAAAATGATGTTTATCATATCTATAAAAGACATTATTATTTTTTTAGACTTTCATTTTTGCAGCAATATGTTGATTATAACGTTTGTTTTGTTTGTGGTGAGTTTAGCGTCAGGGAGGTCCCCACATGCAGACGATGTGGAGAAGTTAGTCAGAAGCAGCAGTTTCAGAACAAGAATTTCAGATAATGTATTTGAGGACGCCAGATTGGATGTGGTAAGTGATTTTTTAATCCATAATTTTCCACAGATACACCACAGGGTATATCCAATATAGAGAAAAAGGAGGTAAAAGATGTCATTTGTACTAAATTACATATATTATGTATGGTAATTATTCGATGAAAAATTGTATTTTTTTGTTTTGTTTTTAAAGACTCAACTCATCCGGAAGTACAGATATCCATTGGAAGTACATAACGTGACGACTTCAGATGGATACATTCTACAGATGCACCGCATACCGCACGGCCGAGATCACAACAATGTTCGTGATCCAAAGAAACCTGTCATATTTTTGATGCATGGATTATTAACATCTTCTGCCGATTGGGTCATTATGGGACCTGGTTGCGGATTTGGTAAATAAAAAATTGTTACATAATCTCTCTAAACATGCTTTTTTTTCATTTTTTTATGTGCTCTCACAAAAATGTGGTTCTAGGTTATCTTCTGGCTGAGGCCGGATTCGACGTATGGATGGGGAACGCCCGCGGCAACACGTACTCCCGAAGGCACGTTCGATTGAATCCCGATTCTATAATTAATAAATCTTTTTGGCATTTTTCTTGGGACGAAATCGGTAATATAGACTTGCCAGCAATGATAGATTATGCGCTGGCTCACACGGGACAGAAGAAACTGCATTACGTTGGCCATTCTCAAGGAACGACAGTATTCTTTGTTATGGGCTCTCTTCGTCCTCAGTACAATGAAAAAATAGTGTCGATGCACGCTTTTGGTCCTGTTGCGTACATGGCGCATAATAAGAGTCCTTTGTTGAACGCAATATCACCGCATGTTAACAAGATAGAGGTAATACATTACTACTCGTATTATTTGCCTTCTAAATGTTTTTGTTGTTTTTCGATATGTTCGGTTTTGTAATGGATTTACAATCTTCTTATTACAGTATCTCTTGTCTATCATTGGTACAGGAGAGTTTTTGTCCGACAATGCAATAGCGACGTGGGTCGGCGAAACGCTATGCAAGGATGAAGCGACAACGC